CAGACACAAAAATCCTTACTGTAATATTACCAAATTGAATTGAGCAGTACTTAAAATGGATAAGCCATCATGAGTAAGAGAAGTCTAGCCCAGAAATATAATTGATTTGAGCTGGAGAGATGGCTTAGCCTTTAAAAGCTAGGATCCCAACCAAAATTTTAAGAAATTTAATTGATTTGACATTTGTAAAATAACTGTAACTTATCATAAAAAGAGATAATTTAGTTTTATTTTATTCACTTATTTATTTACATACATCCTTGCTTATTTTTTGAGGCAGCTCCTGCTGTGTGGCTCCAGCTGGCCTGGATGTCACAATCTTGCCCCTGCTCCCAAGTGCTGAGATGACAGGCATATCAGGTAGGAAAGGACAGTTTCTCAGTGAGCAGCATTAACAATCAGACATCAAATGAGCCTCAGCTTCTACCATAGATTACATATAAAATGAACTTAGTAGGAACAAACCTAGTCCCAAAAGCTAAAACTCTAAAATAACTAACAGAAAATATAGAAATTCTTTGTGACTTAGAAGGGCTGAGAAAAACCCTGTATACACACTGACCTTCACCCAGAACAGTGTTTGAAGAGAACCACAGGAGAGAAAACATTCACATTACCAACTCATCAAGACTTCTATCCAGTGTTAGTTACAAGACTGAGTAATGGAACCAAAGTTTAAAATGGCGAAATCGGAACATACACTCCCCCCCCCCAAAAAAAAAGATAATGTCAAGGAAGCCCATGAAAAACAGCACCAGAGACTGGGATGCAGGCCAGCTGGGAGTGTTTACCAGTGTAAACCAGGTGTGGTCGCATGCCTATAATCCCAACATTTGGGAGGTGGCAAGAGGGAGAGCGGTCGTTCAAGTTCATCCTTAAGGACACAGCAGTCAACTACAGAGCAAGTGCAAAAAAAAAGAAAAAAGAAGGGAAGGAGGGAGTGAGAAGGAAGGACGGAAGGAAGGAAGGAAGGAAGGAAGGAAGGAAGGAAGGAAGGACGGGCAGCCAGGGAAATACATACTTAGAACAAAAACATCCACTAACCTGAAGAGATTGATAAAAATGGACAATACCAAGATTGACAAATGTGTGGGAAAACACCTTCTTCAGCAACTGCTGGGAAATACAAACTAAGGGAAATTGGGGGAAATAGTTTGGAAGATCCTTAAAGGCTTCATATACTATGCTCCACACACAGCAAGAATCAGCCTTTATCCTATGCATTTACCCAAAAGAAAGTAATGCATATGGCCATAAACGGAATGTGTCACTTGTACAAAGCAGCTTTATTCATAAAGCAAAACTTGAAACAACCTAAGTGTTCATCCTCACCAGCAGTTAAACAAACTGTGGTATATTCCTAAAAGAGAATAGTAGAGGAACAGAACAGAACAGAAAACATTGCTGACATGTAAAAATCAGGGATCAATCTGAGCATGGAAGAACAAAATACACTGTTCTAATCAAAATATGCCAGACATGAGAGTACATACTGCATGATCTATTCATTTATAATTTCACGAAAGAAAAATCTAATTTATAGTCACAGAAAGCAGATAGGTCACTGAATAGAGCAGGGTACGGGGGGAGAAGAGGTGAACTAGACACTTCTGATTTGTAGAGACCTTTTGGGTGGGCACAAACTACTCACAGTGACGGGCAGAGATAAGCAGATATTCACACGTTTGTCAAGAACTTTTCAAACTGCAAACTTATAGCGGCTGCCTTTTCCTCTGTCTGAATGATCGTCATGTAAGAAAACCGACGGAAGTGGGTGAGGATATAATTCACCCCACGTTCCTTCCTTCAGCTTTGTGGTTTACTACTATTCCCAGGCAGCAGACTTTAAAATAGTATAAGCAAAATTTCCTGGTGCCTTGTAACAGACATTATTCATTTTCAATAAAATCTCCACAACTTAAAAAAATTAGGACTTTGACATTTTGCTTCTGCTAAATTTCATACTTAATTTGAAATAAATTCAAATCTTTGTTAGGGCTTAAGGGAGTCCTAAACGATCTGTGCTCCCTTGTAGCCTAACGACCCAAGAGACAAGTCGGGGACACAGAGATGACACCAAATGACAGCATATAATGACCGAGTAATACTGAACCCAGACCTAGAGAGGCCTCGCTGAGCTATGGGCAGCTCTGAAGCAAAGGCTTCCCCTTTCCTGCAAAATTCACAATGTAGCTGAAAGGAGGCTTGACCAACGCAGAGAAAAGGGAGAAAGGGACCAGTGTGTCCAGCCCTGTTTCCCATGCTCCTTCCTCTCCTTGGAAGGTGTGAGGGGATCAGGATTTCCCAAGAAACTGCCCATTTATCAGCTTTCCACGGCTCTCCAAGTACAACACTGGTAGCTCACACATAACACTCAAGAAGGCACTGTGCACTGGCTGCAGGGTCACTGTGGCTCTTGCTTTCGTAGTGGCCCAACTCAACTGCACGTGGCTAAGGTCCGTGACTTCAGATATGATCTCCTTCATTTCATTTTAACTTCCATAGGTCGAGAGGCCATTCACAAACCGTCATGCTTTCTTACTGGTTGAAAAGAGTTTCTGTATGCTAACATGGCACCAATCAGCGACACCTTTGTTGGGTTAAAGTCATCTCAGAAAATCACATTCTAACACACACACTGAAGACGATGATGATGATGGTTCTTGTGTTCACTCCTAACTCATCCAGACGCAGCCTAGAGTGTCTGTCACCAAGCGGGTTTTGAAAGGTTTCCCACAGAAGGGAATTAAAGAGCTGATTAATAATTCCCTTACTGCAGGAAAGGGGAGCCAGCCTGTGAGTCACTGCGTGAAGCATAATATGCAAACTGACGGGGCTGCGCGGTCCTGCTACAATTGTGGAAGTATCGGTTTTCTAAGACAATCCCTTCTAACTCAGTAGCTTTAGCCAAACAACAAGAGCAATCTAGAATACTTGCGTGCTTACACTGTCACCATCCTGTGTTGTCCATGGGCCCCAGCTTAGTAGATAGGAGTTATGAAATGCCTCCCGCACAACTTAATTTAAAATACAACACTTTATCACCCAGGCGCCTGCATTCTAGAGATTAACAGGAGTCTCAAGTTTTCAGGTATGGTCTCTATTCTCATTCTCTAACAAGTATCTATACCGTACAATTTTGAAACTAGAACCATACAAATCATATTCGATATAATTTTAACACTAATACTGCTGCTTAAGATAATTAAACATAATTATATCATTATCATGAGTGTCATTTTTCTCCAGGTTCATAAGAATACATTATTCTAATTAACAAGCTCAGTGAACTTTTACATACCATTACTCACATCCCAGCAAAATAACCAATGCAGTTTTCTCTTCCTGCAAGGAAGTGTTAGCTAAAGTACCTTTGGTGGTCTGGAAAAAAATGAGCCTTTCTCCATAACTAAGTCTTCCTTTTTCTCCTCATCTTGTCTATTTTGCATCTTAGATCTGAGTAATAAAGAGACTAGCATGACCCACTAACACCGAAACAGTTGAGACAACAGGTTTAGCGGTCTGGAAGCAGCACGCAGGCCACGTACAGTCTCGCCTATTTTGAGGTTGAGGCACAGACTCCATGCCGAGAGCAATCTGTAACTGACAACTGCCTTTCAGTATCACAAGCCGTGACTTCATTCAGATAAAAGGTTATGAAAAAATCTTTCCTAAAATCAGAAGGAAATGAGAGGAAGTATTCCCAAACTAAGACAAGTTCTTCCTAGAAATGGCTAGCATTGACTAAGCAGTGCACGTGGGGAACCATACAGATGTTTCATGTATACTTTTACACACAGAAAAATAAAATCTACCTAATTCTCAAAATCCAAGAGGAAAATCTCCAAGACACAAGGGAAAGGCTATTCTTTCACAAGTTACACAATAGACAGATATCCATATGTAACGTAGCAACTGTACTCACCTCTCTAGCCATCTGTCCCCTGAGAATATCCCTTGCTATTTAACAAAGTACTTTTTTTCACTCATTCTAAAGCTGACCTCTCCATCCAGGGCTTATTTCTGGATGATAGATAGAATTTAGGGGGATATAACACTATTTAAAGCAACTGCTGATTTCTCCAACCGGAAAGAAAAAAAACATGAACATTCCCCTAAAATACCTTCTAAAACATATCATCCTCGCAAAAATGCTGCCCATAATTACATGTTCCAACTGGTTTTGTTAAGATTTCATAACACAACAGAAATAACTTTCATCTCTAATGGAAAAAAATTACATCAATTATATCTTCGTGAGTATCAGGAAGAACAGCACCTGACAGTTGCATATGTTTTGTTTGTACTACAATATACATAATAGAAACAGTCACCCACGGTAATAATAGTATTGGTTTGTAACTGTGAATGAGGATTTTAATAAGCTTTTTTTCTTTGGTTGCTTTATTTTCCACTGTTTTTATTTTGTTCTGAGGCAAGGTCTTACTATGTGTCTCCCCGGCTGGCCGTGAGTTCACGAGTCCTCTGCCTTGCCTTCGACAGGACTGGGATGAGAGGCATCTGCTTCCTTACTGCTCCACACGTGGGTTTACACTACCAATCACATTCCAGTTCCCTGCTTGTCAGTCATATACTGACACCCTAATAATATCAATGCCTTTTTACTTTAAAGATTTTGACTGCTATTTTATACTGATGTGAAACTGTAACAATTTTTTCATTTCATTGACTACTTCCACAAAAGCATCTTTGGAAAGACATTTATAAACTGTCCACTGCAAAGTTACAAGCGAGAAATACTCGTCAGCTGTGGCAGCCCCCGCCTGTATTCCCAGTAGTTCCGAATGCCAAGGCAGTCTTGAGGCTAGCCTGAGTTAAAAAGGAAGACTTGTCTTACTATTTGTTTGCTGGGCTCTGCATACTTGTAAAAATCAGAAAAGAAATAGGAGGATTTTGCTCAGCAACAGAGGTACTAGCCTAGCATGCTGGGGGCCTAGCTACACCCTCCCCCGTAAAAGGAAAAAAGGAAAGAAACTCTGTTTTGACCAGGATAATGTAAGCGTAGAATTTACTGACAATCTCCAAATGCCATTCACCTGTACAAATGAATGACTTGTGACAAAGATGACTTGACCTTGACAATGAAGTGAAAGGTCACTCTGACATCAGTATTCACAGTTAGCAAGTACTGAAGAAAACAGTTACCACCTTCTAACTTTAAAGTCAAAACATAAGCACAAATTAGAACAAAAATTCAAGGAAATGTTCAGGATACACACATCTGCATGCATTTTTAGGCAAACTTCCAAATATATCAAATTACAACCAAATGATAACTTTGAATCAAGATGAATGTCAAAAATATTTAAGCTTGCACTAGTGCAGCAAGAAAAATGGAAAAGAGACAAATGGCAGATTTCTAGGAGGGAGAGAAATCACACGCTTCCTTTATCATAGAACAAAAGTCTGCAAGTCTACATTGTAATAACACTGCCTGTCAAGTCAATCTCTATTCAAGAACACAATTTCCAAATTGTATCTTCAAATGCCCTCTCCCAACAGTCCAATCAATGCTCAACAGTCAAAACACATTTCACTTAAGATGTGAACCTTAAGTATAATTTGCTTGTCCAATCACTAAAGAATTCCACTACTTGATTTTTATATGCTTCATCTGAAAAATTCAAGTTTTGCCCTCCTCCTCCAAGGTGGATATCGAATGTCATCTAAGCATTAAGTAGCAACCAAAACCAAACAAAAAAAAAACCTAGATTCAAACATCTTTTCACCACGTATGCTTCATCGGGCTTTGATAAAGACAGCGCCATCTGGGGTGGAGGCGCCCTCTTCCTTCTCATTGACTATCTCCACAGTTCCAGAAGCTGACACGATAACCATGGTTTTATTTGCAGACACCAACTTCTGTTTCTCTGCGACAGCTGCACAAACAGCAACAATCTCGTCGCTTTCAAAGTCATAGTCAGGGATTGGCTCTGGGGAGATGTCTGTTCCTTCGGGTGCAATTTCTTTTTTTTCAATCCTCCGAGCTACTTTCTGCTGTTCCTGGAGTTTTCTTGCCCAGGAAAGGTCCTCCTTCCATATTTCTGGGTTCATTGGATATATGTGGAGGGCTACTTGAAAACTTCGAATTGCCTGGAGGAAAAAGAATTTTTTCATTTGTCTTATTTCTAAAAATCACCATGTTAGCTACAATTACATACATACAAGTGAGTATAGGTATATATGCATCCATACATGTCTACTCTAGCATACTACTATAGTTAATTTTAGCACAAAAGACAGGCCATCTGTCCAGATGATTATGGTAGAGAAAAATACAGATGTGAGAGGGAAAGACTGAGAAAACACCAATGGGCTAAAATTAGAGGCACTGGTACTAAGGGCTTGAGCACCTTAGCAGAATCTTATACTGTGATCACATAAGGTTTATCCCTCAGAGGTGGATCACACAGTTCAACATGGACAACTGGTATAACAAACAACACACATAAAAAATAAAAATCACAGCATTTGTCCCAATAGGTGAAGAAAAACAATATGACAAAATTCAGTGTCTTTTTGTGATTAAAAAGTCAACAATCTAGGAATACATGAAAATAAAAGCCATGCAATAGAACACCCAAAACCAACATCACATTCAACAATGAAAAACTGAGTGATTTCCTGCAAGATCAGAACGAGGCCAGTCTTTCCATTTCTCTTTTTTAAATTTATTTTAGAGATTATAATATAATTACATCATTTCTCCCTTCCCTGTCCTCCCTCCAAATGCTTTCATATGCTCTTTCTTACTCTTTAAAATTCAACAGTGCTTTTTTCATTGTTATACATATATATATATATGTATGTATATATATATGTATATATTCCTAAATATAACCTCCTCAGTCTATATAATGTTACTTGCATGTATGTTTTCAGGGATGATCATTTGGTATTAGACAAGCTGGCATGCCCTTCCCATTTATGTTCAAAACAGAACTTTAAATTAAGCCAGAGAATTAAAAATATGTATATATAAATCATCAAAATGAAAAGGAAGAGGTAAAATTAACCCATTTGCAGGTGACATTATCTACTTATAGAAAGACTCCGCAAGATAACTATAGAGACAGGTGCCCGAGTCCTCGCTCACTCAGGAAACTAAAACAGGAGGATGATTTGCACTAAGGAGGTCAAGGCTAGCCTGGACAAAATAGTCAATCTCAAACAAACAAACAAACAAACAAAAAACTGTGAAGACTAATAAGCTCCAAAAAGCTGCAATATATGAAATCAACAACAAAACACACACATACATATATGGCTTAAACAATATTATGCTGCTCAGACTAATAATGCTCCCCACAAGAGTCACAGACTGTAAAAGAAATTCCAGTACCGGGCATGAGCAACCCAGTCACAGTGTTGGTCAGGGTAATCCTAGAGACTCCTAAGACATTATAGGCTATTGATGTTGCCTCTGGTTGTCCCTCAGAGGTGTAATGTTAAGTCGCTATTGCTGAGAAATCATACACTTCAGATACAGGACTCAAGATCTGAGCTAAACTGACTCAAAAGTCTGCTCCATGAAGATAAGCTTTCATAGCACCACAAGGCACTAAATAACTTGCTAAGGAAGGGAAGCAACCAAAAGTCCTATGTAGTGTGATGCCTCTGAACAAGAACAAGGGCCATTGTGGCAAAATACTGCACCCTAGGGGCACACCTCATATCTTGGTGGTAACCAATAGTTACCTAATAGGATTTAAGGCCAGCTCAACAGCAAGGAAGAGGTGCCTGGAACTGGAAACCTAGCCAACTTCCTGGGGCTGATGAGTCATGGATCTTAGAGGAGACTCTACTACTACTACTTTAATAAATCAACACAGTTTATAACTGCACTTTAAATGCTTATTCTTATGCCCACAGATAAGTGTAGTTCTCACCATTCATCAAAGAAACTTCTCTGCAACAGAGGGAGACCATTACAGAAAGCTACAACTGGTCAAAAGTTGAGGTTCCCGGCCCCAGTACATAGCCACAACACAACGTCTGAAACTAAGGCCCAGGGCCAGCAAGAAGAAAGGAATAAAAGACTACAGGTCATAAAACTAGGAAATATGCTGTGAGACTGTATTTCCTAGAAAAGATAGAAAAGCTTCATCCATCGTAACTCAACAATATGGATGCCTAAACAAGACCAAGTACAACACCAATAGACATGGTAACATGGAAGAGGTCATTCTCACAGGGCTCCACCACTAGAAAAAGAACTACAGGCGAATAAGAAATCCTGAAAGAGGGAGGCATAGTCATCCCCAGAAATGAACACCCTAACTGGCTATCTGATACCAACTGGTCAGCCTTAAAATGACATCATGCAATTAACACTAAACGGACTGAGCAGATTATATTTATGTACTTGTGAATTCACATATAATAAGCACACATACACACAGAGATACAACAACAAAAAAGAAGAGATCATCAATTTGAGAAGGAGCAAGTGGATGGATATAGGAAGGGTTGGAGGAAAGAAAGAAAAAAGGAAAATGATGTAATCACAATTAATTTTTTTAAAAAAAGATTTATTTATTTATTTATTTATTTATTATTCATTCATTCAGTCAGTCAGTCAAGTATCCTGCCTGTAGGCCAGAAGAGGGCACCAGATCTCATTATAGGTGGTTGTGAGCCACCATATGGTTGCTGGGAATTGAACTCAGGGCCTTTGGAAGAGCAGTCAGTGCTTTTAACGGCTGAGCCATCTCTCCAGCCCATCACAATTAATTTTTAAAATGTCAAATTAGAAAAAGATGAAATATAAATGGCCAATATAAACATGAAAGAACGTTCAGCCTCATTAGCTATCAGAGAACACAAATCAAAACCCAGTGAGAATCTTTCATGAAAAGCATACAGGGATTTTAGGGGGGAAAACAAATTAGAAACTGATCTATTATTTGGCCCAGTTTTGATCCCACTACAGCACTCCTGGGTATTTACTCAAAGGACACCAAATAGACACATCACAGAGATATTTACACATTGATATTTATGCACAATTTTCACAAGAGCTAAGTAGGAAACAGCCCAGGTATACAACAACGAGAAATGAATTGTGGTGGGTATAGATAAACAATGCATTTTTTAGCTATAAAGAATGAAGTTATATTGTTTTTAGGAAGATGAATGTGACTAGAGACAGTCATATTCAGGACATTAAGTTAGTCTCAGAAAGACAAATAGGTATTTTCTGTCACCTATTGGTCCTAGATTTTATAAAATCACACAAAACAATCTATGTATATATTAAATGGAAATAAGAGCAAATTTATGTAGAGGAACAATGTGGACTAACAGGGTCAGATAATTGAGAAAAAAGGGGATAGAGAGAATACAGTAACACAAGATGAGGCAGTAAACGGTATACTCAATATACAACATGCATATAGAAGAAACTTATTCTAAAAATCAAAATATAATTAAATTTGAGCATTATAACAATTAAATTTCTTTACCAGGACTATCTCTCCTAATCCAAGCTGAGCACGACCTAAAGTCTGCCAAGACTCCCATGAGTGTGGGTTACGTTTGACAGCCATTTCGGCTGCATGTACTGCTGGAAACATTTCATGAAGGGACATCAGGACCTATGTGCCAAAAAGAAGAAGAAACAAAACCCGTCATGAGCTTATGCAGTATAAACTAACAAACTACTGGTAGGTAATTTATATGCAAGCAATGATTTTCCTTTACAAAATCTATTTTAATCCGGCATACAGCATTTCCATGGATTTTATCCCCTAATTTACATTCAGTATCAGAAATTCTAGACCTTTTTTTACTCCCCAAATAAGTGAAAATATAAAGTGTCTCTATGTCCATCTGATCGAAACCAGTGGTTGTGCTCCGGCCACAGCAGCTCAAGGCTGTCTGAAGGCCAGCTTCACTACAGTTACTCTAGGACAATGTAATTTTTAGGAAACACACAAGTCTTGCTGTTAAACCTAGATAAATGAATTTGTTCAACCAGTCATTCAACAATAACAGTTTACCTGCTGTGAGAATTAAACACCCTGCAGGCCTCACAACTCGGCTTTTTAAGCCAGCCACACATATCAGAAAATTCACAGAACTAGAGATCCAAACGCCCATGGGAAACAGTTGTACTTCATTTGTACCCTTTGAGTCCATGAACATTTTGGAACATTCTTGACACGAACACCATTTTTAGGTTCTAAATTAAACTTTTCGTATAGTTCCCACGAATCTTCCCCTAACCTGCACGTATTTTAGCCCTGAATGTGAAAGCTTTCAAATGAAGGGCTTTAAGGAACCTGCTTCAGTGGAACTAATTTGTGTTCTTCCTCAATAAAATAAAGCTATTAAAGCATGTGACTTTCATTTCAGAGTATTATGTGTTAAAAATACTTGTTAATATACATCAAGGCTGAACTGCAATCACTTTTTAGAGGCTGTTTTGCTGCTTTAATTTTGAGAGTTTCCCTATGGAGCTCAAGCTCCTGGAACTCCTGACTCTCCTTGCCTTAGTCTCCCAGAGTGCTGGGATGGCAGCATGTGCCACCACACCCAGCTGTCTGAGACAGTCAGTATTCCTTAGATAACTAGTTCAGGTGCTCGGAGGCTCTCTATACAGAGGGTCGCCACTAAGTACTAGAAATGCATATTTAATACAAATGCCAGTTTCTTAACTGGTAATCACACCTTTCCCAGCCTTTTTGCCCAGATCTATGCAATTTAGTTTCTTTTCATTTCATCTGTATTTACCTCTTAGGCAGATGTGACTTGGGACCTCTACTTCCACTCATAAGCCTTACTTAGTTGCTGTTGGGTTGGCTTAATGAGACCTAGAGAGGTTAAATGTCTTGTTCTTCAGTACTTCTTTTGGGCAACAAGCCCTGTGGGGAATTCTTCCTATCAAGTTGATTTAGCTTACATACTGAATTATGTAAGATTAGTACATGCAGAAATAACTAGAGGGGATGGAAACGTTGAAAAGGGGATCCAAGAAGATGAACTCAATGCATTTTAACATTTTTTTTTCTTTTAAACATCAAGATAAATATCTCAGAACACTTCAGTGGCGAGATTCAGTCTAGGAATTCAGCTTGCTATCAACCACGGAACAGGTTATCCTACTTCCTACAACAAATGTTCCACTAACCTGTTCAAATAGGCCAAGGAGAAACCTTTAATACCCAAGGAGAAAAAACCTTATCTTCCCGAGTTATCATGCCACAATGATATTTTAAATATTAACAAAAGTAAACCAAACACTCCTATAAAACAGAAGAAAAGAAGGTGAGCATTGAAGATGTAGCTACATGCTTCTTCTGATGAAGCTGCCCTCCTTATCTGCTCCCAGGGTGACATCTCTTCAGTTACAGCAGCAGGACCATCTTAGACTGAGTTTGTTCATCCTCCGAATCCTGTTAGCATGTGTCTGGGGATTTTCCAGACTGAAAGCAGAAGCCAGAAGTACAGTTTTGTGCAGCAAGATGACCAGACACTTGGAGATGGGTCATTCCTGTCAGCCTCCACCTTCTGCTTTTCAGAAATGGAGTGGTCAGGGTGCACCCATAGGTGATATTGCTGCCGTGTCACTCACTGTTGATCTGTCTCTTAAGGCTGTCCTCTTTCATGTTTGCTGTCCACTCCTATGTGGTTGTGACATACAGCCTGGGAAGTTACCAGTAGGTCTGATATGACTGCCTTTTCCACCTTTATCTCCAAAATGTCTTTCCATAATTTAGTAGAAATTTTGTCTTTTCCTCCTCTTTTATCTATTTTTTTCTTTCTTTCCCTCTTCTTCTTCTTCTGGAAGTTCCACTCCCTCCCTCTTTGGTGACTGACACTAAAACTCCCCTGCTCCAATCCCTTCAGCTGTTGGACACAGCCCTTATCAATGGGTTTTATCAGCTGGCACAGTTCTAAATCAGTTCTCTAAGCTTTTGGAGACTTTCACCAAGGCCAAGTAGCTACAAAGTACTTGGTCTCACCTGTGCCGAAACAGAAACGTTTCTAGTTTTCCTTTATGCTGGTACTACAGCCGTCCTAGGAAAATGACCTCACCCCCAGGGCAGATGTGGAGCACTGTAACAGTTCTGAAAGGCTCTTGCAATTTTGAGTCTTCAATGATTTCTAAGTTATATTTTTTCAAGAACTGTTTATTAAAGTTTTATCTTCTGCCAGGTCACTGAGCAATTCTAAGCAATTTTTGAGCAATTCCTTTTTACAACATTAAGTTTTGCTTTGCTACAACTTACCACAGTTGTAATATCTCCCTATTTAGAGTCTGCCAGTCCTGTAATGGCAATCAGATACTCTGGAATTAACTCTTTATAGGTAGACATGAAGGAAATAGCATATATACAATTTAATGTTAATCTTTTTCCCCCGTTTTCAAATAGATCAAAAGAAACATGTCTCAGGAAAAAAATCAGCACTTAGAATTCCAAAAGTCCTTCAACAGAAAAGTGCTTCACTGCCAAGTGTGCATCCCAATCACTAGTCAAGCTCTTATAAACCTTTCCATGCCCCTCATTAATAATGTCATCAGGATTTCTGGTCCAAATAGGATTTGCTTGGTTGAGTGCTTCTTGATCGATGCACCTTTCCTTAATCTTCTTCTAGTCACTATTCTCTGTCCCCTCCCTCCTCCTCACTCCCACTCCCTCTCCACTCCCTCCTCCCCCTTCTCCTGCATGAACAGCTTCTATTTAAGGAAGGTTTGTCACCAGGCTTCTTTTCTTCCTTGTCTTCAGCCTTATAATCACTGACTTCTTCACCAAACTCTTCCACAAAGAGAGCAACAGGCTAGTCAATAAACTGAGAATGCTTCTTCATAATCTCTTTTATTACTCTTTCCTCTGAGAACTCAGTTTGGTCTTCTTTCAGAGATAGGCTAGTCTTTGCTCCAAGGCTCACAAGTCCCCTGTGACCGACGCTAAACTCCTTTGGTCCAATCCCTCCAGCTGTTGGACACAGCCCTTATCAGCTGCCGCAGTTCTAAACCAGTTCTCTAAGCTTTTGAAGATGTTTCACCAAGGCCATACTGTGAATGATCCCTCTGCTAAAGATTCCCAGGCATGCTGCTCACCATTACATGCTTGGTGACCATAATCACTTTCTGAGCAATGAAATACACAGTAAAAACCAAAACCAAACTGGCCAATCACAAAAGTATCTGCACCAGCCTGCAAAGCACCCATAAAGGCTTTCACAAATGTACTTTTGGCAACCTTACCAAAGTAGCTGATCAAGTCAACACTGGTCATTCTAATTCCAGTATCTGCAATAGTGAGAGTTTGATCCTGTTTGTTAGGAATAAGAATTGACAAGGAACTCCTTCCCATAGTCTTGTTACCGGGATCTGATATGCTCTCACATTTGATTTATACAAAGCATCTGATAAATCTGAAATGAATGCCCCAAAAAAGATCTGTTTCATTAGAAATCATTGATAATCAAGTGACATTAGATGGGCAATTTGTATATGAAAGGCAGTTTCAACCTCTGCTTCTCCATTGGTCAGGCTTAGGTCTGGGTTTCCTCAAACATCTTCACTGAGTGACTAGTACACACTCCACTAGGAGTAGCTCTAGGTATGCTGGAGCAGCAGATGCATACATTCAAATACATATATAGGTATGTGTGTGCATATACATACACACACATACACACATGTATACCTGTATGTGTGCATATATATATATATATATATATATATATATATATATATATACACATATTCCAAATACAATGCATCCTCATTTTGAAGAAAAATTAGCTACTGGTAGACAATTAATTTACAACCCAAGTAGAAACTTGTCATCTATTTTAAAAATGTACTAATAATTTTATCCATGTTATATCTTCTCAAAGCTAGGTTGAAATAACAGTTGACCTCATTGCAAAAGCAAATGCATTTCTAACTTTATATACAATACAACATTTTAAATATTTTTAAAAATAAATTGTATTGAGAGAAATGAGAGCAGACATATTTGTTTAGCACTGCTCACCAAACAAACACAGCCTAATTATATAGAAAAATCAAATTCCTTTTGGTTGGTACCTGTGATTTCATCTCATAAAGGGTGGCATCATCTGGGGTCAGCTGCAGTGCTTCGTCCCACTTCTGGATTGCCTCCTGGTACCTGTAATTGTTAACGTTGCATTAATATCACTTTGATTCGTTTTGTTTTTCGAGACAGGGTTTCTCTGTAGCTTTGGAGCCTGTCCTGGAACTCGCTCTTGAGATCAAGCTGGTCTCAAAATCACAGAGATCCGCCTCTGCCTCCAGAGTGCTGGGATTAAAGCTGTGCACCACCACCACCCAAATTTTTTTAATTTTAACTAAATCTTTGAGAGTACATGTTAATTTGAAAACTGGGGACTTGAAAATAATTACTAAGAAAATTTCCTATTTAGAAATTGATAATAATACTGTTTTAAAAAAAAAACCTTAGGCAAATTAAAGAAATGAAGGAAAAAAGCAACAAGAGAAAAGGACAGAATATAAATAAGAGATCTTACAAATCTCTTTCTAAGATTTTGGAGCTCAGGCTAGCAAGATGGCTCAGAGGGGTAAAGCCTAACCCCTGAGTTCAATCCCTGTATTCCACAGAGAGGTTAAAAAAAACTAACTCTACGAACTTGTCCTCTGACCTACACACACACCATAACAGGTATAAACACATAATTAATAGTAATAATAAAAATACATTTTAAAAGAGCTTTGTGAGCTGAGAAATCGCTACCAAAATGTCTTTTTTTATTTAACTTCACTGATGGGATCTGTACTCTAACAAACTTGTTTTAAATATTTGCAACCATGCCTAAGTTCTCCTATAGAAATCTACTTGGTAGAGATGTCAGTCTGTCCTGGCTAGTTTTATGACAATTTGACACATCTGAATTCATCTGAGAGGAAGGAACCTCAACTGAGCAAATGCCTCCATATAACTAAATTGTAGGTAGGCAAACCTGTAGGGCATTTCTTAATTAACGGTTGTTGGGGGAGGACCAAGAGCATTGTGGGTGAGGCCACGTCTGGGGTGGTAGTCTTGGGTTCCGTAAGAAAGCAGGCTGAGCAAGCCAGTAAGCAGCACACCTGCATGGCCTCTGCATCAGCTCCTGCCTCCAAGTTCTGTCTTGTTTGAGTTCCTGCCCTGAAGCAGTGATGTGGAAATGTATGCAAAATAAACCTTTTCCTCCCCAAATTGCTTTTGGTCATGGAAAGGACAACTGTCTATTTTTGTTCATAAGTATACATATATGGCGAGCTTAAGAGATAGGGAAATGCACCTAAAATAATATGCAGATGACAGGCTTCTAGTGTGCTGCGGTTTGAATGTGTTGTGTCCCTTAAAGGTGTCTATGTGAACACTTAGTCCAGATGGCTGCACTAACTAAAGTTGTGGAACCTTTAAGAAATAGATCACTAGGGGCTGACCCAAAACAGAGTACACAGCCCTTTATCCTCTTCCACCAGGACGTGAGACATGAGGAGTCCAGCTGCACACTCCTGCCAGTGTGGCACTACCTTCCTGCTCCCTAGGCAATGCTGCTGAGCACTATTCCTATTCCAACTACCTGCACCTGTCTGCAGCCCAGGGCTGTGAATCACTGACAATGTATGCCACAGTCAAGATTATCATGCACTAAATTCTCTTACATCATTTCTTGCTACTTGTTTTCCAGACCCTTCATTTCCTCATATGTGTTCTGTATGTACAATACTCAGTGATAACTGTTATTGATTGGATGGATGGATAGATGGATGGATGGATGGAGATGTATGCAAGTGTTGATGTGTGTGGAGGTCATAGGAAGGTATCCTTTATTGCTCCTGCCTTCTTCATTTGAGCTAGGTACATTCTGAGCCTGAAACATTCCATTTCTGTCACAGTAGCTGGCCAGGGAGCTTCTGGGATCCACTATCTCCCAGCCAACAATGCTGGGGTTCCAGGTACACATTGTCATGTCCAGTCTTAAGTGAGTGCTGGAGATCTGGACTGGGTCCTCATGTGTATTCAGTAAGCATTCTTCCAGACTCAGTCACCTCCCCATCTAACCCACATAGTGTTATTGCTATTTTAGAGTGCTTCAGAGAACAAGCTTACTGTAAGAGATTACTGTACATTACACCCAAAGCAAAACTGCACACTCTTCGTTATCACTGAGTCTCTTGACTTTATCAAAAGCCACATCAAGAGACTGGCCTAAACCACTCAGGTTTTTTATTTTTATTCTAATTATTTTTATTTACATGCATAATTACACTGGCCTGAAATATATTTCTCATTTTCACATTATACTACTTGGAAAAGACAAGTGATTAGTTAATTATAAATTATACACTACCAAAGGTGAACAGTCTCTGAGCACTGACCACGATGCCAGTTACTTCACACGCATTATTTTACTTGACCCTCACCAGAACCCCAGGTGGCATTAATTATTATCTCCATTTTATAAATAAGAAAGCTGAAGATTAAAAGGGAAGCTAATTTGCCAAAGGCAGATAACACTGCAGCTACAAGGGAGAAGCAGGATGGGAAGGCAACAATTGTAACATCACAGCCAAATGCTAAGCCAAAACTTGATCCTATTTCCTCACTAGTACTCTGCTATGGCAAACAAAAGTGAGTAAACAGGCTTCCCAGTGAGATAGGAAAGGACTGATGGAGGGAGAGACAGGTAAAGCTCATCAACCCTACCGACTGTAAGGGGAATTTAAGATGCAGTCCTGGGGTCAAGTGAGCCAGCAGCATCACTTGCACAGTGTGTATGGGTAGCAAGGAAAGCTGAGAATAAAATCTAAGTTTGGTATGGTAACACATGCCTGTAATCCCTGCACTCAGAAGGCAGGGACAGGGAGATCGCTCCAATTTCCAGGCCACTGTGTGTTACATAGTAATCTCCAGGCAACCAGGTATACATTGAAAAACCTTGTCTTACAAAAACAAAACATATCTCACTAGGCATCCTTTTTGAGTAGCCTTTAAGTTTTTCTAAGTATACTCTACTGTGTACACACAATTAAGCTCTTGTTTGAAATGTATCTATGTAATGTTCTGGACTACTCAGAGAAATCACGAGGAGACATTGACGGAGATTTTGTATGTTGTGTGAAGGACTAGGGGATAAACAAGACACTAAAATGATACATGAAAAGGAATTCCTTTATGTGCGAGGCTAAATTTAAAGGGAAACTATAAAAAATGTTGGAGATTTAACCATGTTAATTCTGGTTGATTTTCGTCATTAAAAAGCCTGGTGATTCTTCACTACAGAATAGTTATTTATGTTAATAATGAGATTGTGTTCTTTAAAGGTAAAAGAAGGATTAAGGTCCTATATAAAAGTTAATAATTAATCATCATATTGTAGCCCTCTGAGTTACAGGGTTCTATATGATTGGCCTCCTATAAAATGACAAGGCTAAAGCTCTTAGCTATTCAGACTTTCACAGAGAAATTCAAACATGTTTATTAAAAAATTCAACATCTATGGTCGGTAAATGAAAATTACAGTCTAACTGTTACTATAATGGTTAATAATAGGACAAGAAGTTAATATTATGAGTTTATATTAATTCTGAGGGTATAAAAAATATACAGGCCTGAGGACATCAATACAGGTTGTAAGGGTCTGTCTGAGGCATAAAAGTTTGGATTATATAGGTCTGAGAGGATATTCTGAAAAATATAAATACAATTTATAAGAAATAATGGCTTAAGATGTATTTAAAAATTATTACAAGATTTATTTCCCCTTCCACAGTATTATTATAATAGGACTTCAAAATGTTCAGCAAACTGATAGAACAATGACTGCTTACTGTTTGGGTCACAAGCTTAAGACGTTAAATTTCTTTTCATTGCCTTCTAAATACAGGCTTATATGCTGTTTAACCCAAATCTACAGTTTTTGCTAGGACTTAAGGATGTGAGTCACTCCTACTGTTTTACTGATACCTGTTACCTGCTTTTTCTACAATATGGATTTCAGTACAGATTGATAATGCTAATATATCTAAAACTTGTATTTTTTATAAAATGGAGATTCATATAAACTTCAGAAAATTGAGAAAATTATAAAACTTGGATCTACTTCTCATGAGTTAAAAGAATTATGGTATTTTTTATCTCTCCTGGTCTTGGGACTCTTCCCCTTCCTTAATTATTGAGACTGTGAGTTCATAACTTTAACTTCTGTTCCCAGTTTGTATCTGTCTCACCAGGTTCCCACTTGGGGGACAAGCACATCCAAGCATCAACTACTGATAACAATCTGCTCCAAATGACTTTGAGTCCTGAACTCTCTGAAACCTGATGTGGACCAGTCCAGCCAATGTGATTGCTGTCTGTTTAGCTTGTCAGTGAACCAGATGCTTCTAAGTTCCCTCATTGCCTTTGACTAACACTGTAGTCTTCCAGGGCCCTGAGAGCAATGTCCTAAGGTCAGCAGGAAGTAATTACAGAAATAAATACGTTGTCCCTGTTCCCTCCCTGGAATGTTAGATAAAAAGAAAATTTCTCTGTCAGTCATCACAGGGATTTTGGTCAATTATGCCTTTAATAAATGATAACTCCTGTCTGGGTACCATTAAGTTAATGATGCTAAAACCTCAATTTCAGCCTCTGGAACAAACTCATCTCAGAGATTTTAGATGACGCACTATGCAAAAGCAGAAATCCTAAAGGGGCATATGGGAGTCTTAAGACTCAATTAAAAATATAATTAAAAAGGGGGAGTTAGGGCTATACCCACAGTCATCATATGTGTATTTTATTTTAAAATTTTAAATATTTAAAATGTAAATGTCTGTGAGCAATCTGCCATGAATAGATTTTGGCATGAAAGCACCACCACATAATTTACCCAGGTCTAATGCGTAAATTAATGGTGTAAATCCATCTACTGGTTTATGAAAGGATCCCGACAAGGTTTTGATATAGGGAAAGAGCATATTTGTGTTTTTTCACAGGATAAAATTGAAGCTCAAGGCCAGGCGATGGTGCCGCGCACCTTTAATCCCAGCACTTGTGAGGCAGAGGCAGGCGGATCTCTGTGAGTTCGAGACCAGCCTGGTCTACAGAGCTAGTTCCAGGACAGGCTCCAAAACCACAGAGAAACCCTGTCTCGAAAA